GCGTCTGCGTACGTCGGTATAACATGGAAGCGCAGCCGTGCAACACCAATTTTGTGCACCAATAAGCCCTGAATCGAACGCCTTGGATCTCTCCGGACCTGCACCAATCAGCCGTGCACCACTCGGCTTTGTCCTCTTTCGGCCTTGACCACCACCTGCCGTGCACCACCAGGTCGCGGATCGAATATGACTTCCGGGCATCGTTAAATTACGTAATTTTACGTTCACCGCATCCGAGGTTAGGTTTCAGATAGCACAGTTCTGTTCCAAAATTTATCGTCCTTCGACAAACGGCCGTTCGACCGAGGGCTGGTTCGACCCACGGCCTAGATACGGACGGCTTGAAGTGTTGAAGGCTACGTTCCGGAAGGCAGGAATCATGATGGTCCATTACATCTAGGGCAGTGGTGGTCTTCGGCTGTCGACCCGGTATAACATCACTCAAATTTCCAACACTCCTCTTTAACTTCAGTTCATGCTGCTTCTTTGTCTGTTTGCTACAAATCTTTAATCGATATTTAACACACTTCTACCTTTCCAATCGATCTGGGGCCATACTTTCAAAAAAAGTTAAGAGATCGTAAGTTCATTAGCAAATCATTGACGGCTTTCAAGCGAAATCCACCAATCATAGACAAGAAAATAGAGCGTAAGTACTTACGTTCACTTAGCGAGTTTTGAAAGTATGGACCCTGAAATTTTGCAAACTTGCGTAAAGTCGGAGACAATGCATGAATCATTTGATAGAATAAATAATAATTTTAAAAATCGAAAAAAATTAATAAAAAAATTGAAAAAATAATTTTGTCTGTAACAAATCTTATAATCAATATTAAACACATTTCTACCTGTCCAATCGATCTGAAATTTTGAACACCTGCGTAAAGTCGGAGACAATGCATGATTTTTTTTAAAGGCCTCACACACTCACCATTCCGACAAAAAGGAATTAATTTTATTAATTAAAAACAGGGAATGGTTTCATGTCAATGATCAGGGCCCCGACCTTAACGCCTCTGATGGTGGCCTACACCGACTCCGAGGGTCACTGAGCTGTGACGCGAGCGAGGAGCGGGCCCACATCGAACTTTTCTCTGACTGCTGTTAGGATGCTAGCTGCATTGCCTCTCTGCACGGCCAAACCCAACCTTTGCTCCAACCATAGAGTCTCTCTACGTTCGCCGGACAATTCCGTAATGCGACGGCCAATCTGTGATATTAAAGGACCAGTCGTTTCACCATATGTGCCCGTCGTTTCTAATGCGAATGGCTCGAAACGATACCGAGCTGCCAACGCCGCGTATTTACGTCTCTTGCCATCCTCCGCCGCACGGGCCGCGAACCCAGCAGAAATAGCCGAATTATTGACGTGCGACTCAGCAAAAGTGTCGACGCAGGTTGCATCTCAGCACAAACACCTCCCATTAGAAAATGCAAGTAGACGAGCCCTGGATATTTGGTCCGCCGCTTCCAAAAGCCGCGCTGCGGAGGCTGCGGCCACAGGCCCATCCCAAACTCGCGTCCTGGGCCCAAACTCGCGTCCTGGGGCAAAGCAATACCTGCGTTCTCATTGCGCCACTCGTGCATGAATCAATTGACAGAATAAATAGTTTTGAAAATTTAATTTTTTTTACTATTAAAAAATTTTAAAAATAATTTTTTCAAATTTGAAAATAAAATTAGTAATTCATTGTACATGTGTAACATTGGAGACACTGGATTCTTTAGAAGTGTTGTCTTTGAAAAGTAATTTTTAAACATATATTTTATTACAACACTTCTCTTCAACTCACTTCTTGTTGTTTGTGTGTCTGCTACAAATCTTATAATCGATATTTAACACACTTCTACTAGTCCAATCGATCTAAAATTTTGCACACTTACGTAAAGACGAAGTCAATGAATGAATCAATTGACAGAATGAATAATTTAAAAAATTTAAATTTGTTTTGAATATTAAGAAAATTTCAAATTATTTTTTTTTAATATTTCAAAATAAAATTTGAAATTCATTATGCACGTGTAACATCGGAGACACTGGATTCTTTAAAAGTGTTGTCTTAAAAAGTAATTTTTAAATGCATATTTATACTAGACTGGCGGAGCATACTAGCATAAACCTGCTTCCGCATTCTTTTCATTCAGCAGTACGCGTTCATGCCGAGCAGTCAATGTCCCGGCGTCCGATAATAATTTTAGAGTTTTAGCCTTCATAACCAGTTTTTCTGACATTCAAATATTAAAGTCCCTATATAATTTAAACAAAAGTATAGTCTGAATGCCGTTTATAGTTTCATATCCCCTTGAAATTGTAAATAGATAGATTGGTCTGCTCATGTTTACCTGATTATTATTTGTTTTCATTTGGCAATGTATGTTTTAATATCTTCGATGTAAATTTTGGTTCGCTAATTTTTTGCACTGGTATTTTAGGTTTGTGAGCTGACGATGGAGCTGAACTCCGAAATGTTTTCTCGCATAAGAAATGGTGCATTTTTTGGCTGTTTTCATATGTTTTTAAATTTTTCATGGATTAAAACTACATTTACGCCAGTTATTACCAATTCAAATTTACGCTATAGCGCAATAAAGTGTTTCACCGACAATGCGTAACTTCTGCAACTATCACCCACATGGCACACTTCCCCTAACTCAACTTTCATTAACTCAAGGAATTGATGGACGATAGGGTGAGGCAGCTGCACCTGAATAAATCGTCCACCATCTGCACCTGCTTACGTAAAGTCGGACTCGGAGACAATGAATGAATCAATAGACAGAATAAATAATTTTGAAAATTTAACTTTTTTATATTGCCTTTTATCTTTCTTACAAAGCAGTAGGTACTTCAAGGCTTGACAGCTGATCCTCGTTTCTATTAACTGTTCCTTAATTTATTGGTCGGATGAAACCAACATTAAAACTGTTCATTTGCACGGTGGTCTGCAGCATAACAGTTCTGGGGCCCAATTATCAAAAAATCACCAAGTAGACGAAGGGCTACACTTAACAAATTTTTCTATGAACTTTAATGTTTCCGGCTCATATTTCTTTCTATCTCTAATCAAAGATCTAGTTTCAGAGAAATGGTAATGACTTTTAAATTTGGTTAATTCAACATGCATGTTTTTTATGCGTTGCTAAGTACAAATATGCAAGCAAATCATCGAACAAGTAGAGAGTCTCAAGAAAAAATCACGCTCAGCTTTCAGGATGGCAGGACACCAATGCGTGCTTGAAAAGTTATATTTTAGTTTTCGATCTCACTGTACAGAGAGCATTGCCTAAACCTTAGTTGCTTTGAAAAACGTACAGAAATCGCTACGTACGCCTCAAGCAATTCTGAACAATGTAATACAATCGAACAAGCACAACTTTGGTCATCAGCTTGTATTCTATAGCCTTGGTGAAGGAAATGATTCAAATTGTGTTTACAAATATTCTACTTACAAAATATGCACTTTATACTCTCTGTCTTTGAAAATTTGAAGATTTTTATTGCTTCAATTAAAAAAAATAAACGAAAGATGCACTGACAACCGATACATAAATTGTGTTTGCAATAAATCAGACATATAAATATCATTTTTTGACTTATAAGGCAAATAAAACACACGAATAATTAGGACAAAACGATAATTTTTCAGTCCCCAGGTCCAACACACCGAATGAAGTAAGAAGTTTTCTCTCATGTGCCCAGCTCACTGGTAGCATTTGTTTATAGCAATACGGCCAAAAAATCTCGGCAGAACAATAAAAATAAAATTTTATCCATATTGAAGTGTTCATAATAACAAATAAAACAGTACTTCATGGCTTGACAGACAGCTGATCCTCGTTTCTGTTAACTGTTCCTTATTTTATTGGTCGGACTTAACCAACATTAAAACTGTTTATATGCAGGGTGGTCTGCAGCGGTAACAGGTTCTGGCTCCGAATTATCAAAACATCGCCAAGAACACGTAAGTTTGATCACAAATCTTGGCAACAGAGTTCCAAGATTTGAGTAGCGTGACTGCGCCGGATGTTGTAGTTTGAACAGGCATTTTGAATATATCATTGTAGGACGAATGACCTACAGAATTTTTTGGGCAAAATTAATAATATCTACCACAGTAATTCTGATTCAGAAGTGCATGATATACCGATCAAGGAAGAATAAATAGTTAAACCTGTGTTCATCGAGAAAAGGGTAGAAAAGTTGCGCACTGCACAAAAATGGGGGTGCAAATGTTTTCCTTCCTGATCAGTTGAAATTGTAAATACAAAGTGCAAGAAATTTATTTTAACGTACGTGAAATGAAGAAAAATAGCTGGAATAGCATTCGAAATTTCAGAGTTATATCTTATTTAGGAGGGAGTCATTGTGTAAGGAAATAGTGGAGAAACTCTATATGACTCGACGAGGCCTGACGGCGATACCTCAGCCCCTTTAGCAGCTCAGAGGCAAACTCGGGCAACGGCCTCAATTTATTCCAGTAATTTTTGCGCACTGCATTTTTGAGAGTGAAGAAGACGTAATTTGTTAAGGTTCGCAGAAAAGAACTGAATCTTATTGAACATTATGGCCGGAAGCAACAACAACAGATGGCTGATTTTATGAAAATTTTGACAGTCTAAATTCACGCGCGTATATTCGTGCGACTATTCAAACACTTGAACTCGGGTGCAGATGGTGGACGATTTACTAAGGAGCAGCTGCCTCACCCTATCGTACATCAATTCCTTGTGTTGAAGAAAGTTGGCGATCATGAGAGGATAAGTGAGCTTTGTGGGTGATGGTTACAGAAGCGAATGATTCATTTTTCAGGGCTTCTTATCGAACGTATTGTCAATGGCAAATTGCAACACTGTCCACTTAGAACTAATAAATATTTGTTGATGGATAATAAGATGACACTCAGTTGCGTAATTTCTTGAGCGTGTAAAGAGAACGCGTTACATAACCTGCTGGCCGCGTTGGGAAACGCAGCAGGTGACGACAGCCTCACAGCTGATGCGCCGGCTGAGTTCTCATTTACTGAGCTGACCCTACCAGACCACCATAATGAGCGTCGTGTGGAAGTTAATGACCGTGAGTTGTGTTTAGATTAGTTACAGTTCTGTAACAACCTGTGCAATTCGTAGCATGTTGATCAAATCAAACTTGGTCACATATATGAAGAAGATTTATTAAATAATTATTATATATTTATAATATGAAGCGTTTTGAAGTCCAACTCTATATATACCGCCAGTTCGACAGTCCTAAAAGTGCAATTGTCCAGCAAATAAACTGTCTGTAAGTTTCTAGCTTTCATATGGTTAATTGCTAATATTCAGATTATGATTGTTTAAAATTCGTCATCTGCTACATTTTTCAATGTAGTATTCATAATATCCACAACTGAAGCATGACTTTAAAAACTTGAACTGCACCAATCTCGTTTATAGCGTTCGTTTGCTAGTTTAACCAGCCAAATTTCAGTTCGAGTAGCCACTAATTAGACGGCCATTGTAAAATTTCCAGTGCTGACACGGAAAAAGAAGGTACGTTTCTCGCCCTGCTGACGGTATTACCTCACACGTTTCAACATGATGACTGCTTATTAAAATTGCGTCTCGTTATGCAACTGTGCCTGCCCGTTATTCGGGAGAGTACTACCATGAGAAACATCGCCTGACAATAATCCATCGTAGCATTTACACATATTGAATGCTCAAAAATTAATTAAAAAAAAATATTATCCTATTACTTTTTATGAATCCACTGTAAAGAAGCGACTCGCGTGCAGAATTTAAGGTTCCAATTGAGTAATATGGCGCAGTATTAATTACAAGGACAACACTGGAAATTACTAATTATTACCAATAGAAATACTGACAGGCAATTATAAATATGCTAATTCTGGAATACGAAATTGGATTTCACTCCTGGACGGAAAATATCACACAGTATTGTAACTATTTTGTTTCCGAAAATTTTTATACTTCTCGTTATTTAATCAATTATTAATCTTTATCAATGAATTTGACAGGAATTTGCTTAGAATCAAATAACTTTTTAATTTTTTGTTCTATTTTTTATTATAAAAGCTGCGCTAAAATTTACAGAGAAATGCAACGATCTGCAGCCTTCATTTCCGGTCGTGGCCGTTTCCTATAAATTGCAGCTTTTAAGATTACAATTACACATACAGGCTCAGTTAAAGCTGTAAGCAGTGTGCGATTTCTTGTAGTATGTCAAAAAATAGTAAAATAATACACGAAAGGGTTATTAAGGTAGGTTGAGAGATTGGATTTAGTTCAGAGTACCCAAATTGAAGCAGGGAGTTGCGGGGTTCGACCTTTTGCTTCCTGTCACAGTTCGCCGTTTCAAACCGATGAGGTGGTCGGCGGTTAGGCAGAGAAAGATTTGAGCAGTGAGTTGCGTTTTAAATATATTAAAGAAAGACACCGCTATTCTATTCTATAAATAAAAGGGTATGATATTTCGTAGGGACAAAAAGAATAACATTCCATAAAGGAATAAATGAAATGATTTGTAACATTCCATTTACAAGCGTAGAAACGCTACTACCACAAGTAGTGCCAAATTCCTTATCCAAAGATATTACCGTACATTTTATGTGCTACTCTGACACAAATTATATTGCTCTTTTTCCTAGAAATGGTAAAATAATTCTAGTTTCTACTTTTTTTCCATGGTTCTCTTACTATTAACTTGTTATTATTTTAAGTTATAATTTAAAATGGAGGGTATGAGTTGGGATTTCGATTCTACAGCTCTCATGCAATAAATTATTTAGTATTGAAGGAAGTAAAGTAAAATGGACCCTTCTTGCTGTGATCAGGTGGTGGTGATTGCGATGAGTGGTGTGGGAGCGTCTAACACGACGTGTCGCACGCCCCCCAGCGCCCCCAACTACGTCAACGCTCTGTACGAGGGACACTGGTTCGAGATGGGCAGGGTGTGTGCTCATACTATGGAAATAATGAGCAATAATATGCAATTAAAAATTAATTTTTAAAGATAACACATCTAAACAATCCAGTGTATCCGATGTTACACAGGTTCAACGAATTTCTTATTTTATTTTCATATATAGCCAAAAAAATTAATTTTTTCAATATTAAATTTTTTTTACATTTCCAAAATTATTAACTCTGTCAATTGATTCATGCATTGTCTCCGACTTTACGTAAGTGTGCAAAATTTTAGATCGATTGGACTGATAGAAATGTGTTAAATATAGATAATAAAATTTGTAGCATATAAACAAACAACAAGAAGTAAAGATAAAGAGAAGTGTTGTATTAAAAATATAAGAGGGATTGAAACAAAATTTTAGGAGTATGTACATTTAAATTGCGACTCTACTACGTAGTATGTGCAATGAATACTCTCAAAACGGTTGTTTAATTATTGTCAGTATTCAACCTACACTTAATACGAATGCTACCAAAGATTCCTTTAATTATAAGTTTGAATAGGAGCTTCTAATACGGACATGCATGACAACTAAACGCAACGCGTAACTGATATATGTATGCTATTGCTACGAGAACTAATCGTCAAGTTTAGGTCATGACAGAATTTCAATATCTAGGTTGAGTTCGTTTCATTGCCCAAAACTTGTAACTTTTACAATGAAAAAAAAAGAATGTTTGCTAAGACTAATTTTTTGAACAAATCATGTCAACTAAAGGGATGAAGTCCTATGGCAAGTCCTATGAAGAAAGATTGAAGATTATGAAGCTTCCAAGCCTCAGTTATCGACGTCTGCGTGGGGACCTCATTGAAGTATACAAGTATACTCATGGTCTATACAAGGTCCCTGAAGGGTTACTAGAATTTGAAACAAGAACCAACGCCAGGGGCCACGGTCTTATCGAACCCGGTGGAAGTCTAGTAGCTTCTTCAAACTATCGCCAGTCATGAAAAGATCCGGTCAAATGACACGAGTTTAGATCTATGAACAAGGCACGAAATGGAAAAGAATCGGCGACAGGCCACATCAGGCCTACACTTCAGAGCCGACATCACTATGTTATGTTATGTTATGTTATGTTATGAGAATGGACGAGGCACTCATGGTGTCAGTCTGGAGCCGTGCAACCACAAGTCGGATCAGTACATGAGACGGAACACCCGCCGTCTTAAATTGGCGAGTTTAACTTGGCCGACGGAATTAATAACTCTTAACTATTTTTGAGAGGACGTCCGTGTCCCATACCATTTGAACTTTACATCTCGTGACATTCCAGTCTCAGACGCCTGGAGGAGCTGCCTTCCAGGTGGGCTGCATGTGCGACGTCTCTGACTTCGTGACAGACGAGCCTGTGCAGGGCAACGGCACCATCTCTTACGTATGCCGGCGCTTCTCGCCTCTGGCCGACCCTGTCATTGCCAATGGTGACCTATAGTAATAATAATAATAATTCAATTGGTAATTCTAAATGATTGACCAAATTTAATTAATTCGCATTTAGTTATACAGTATATACATTCAAAATTGATAATTTCTGCACCGATGGAAAGAAAAAGATTCAATGTCGTTTTTGCATAATTATTAATGATCAATATGTCCCCCATATGCTACATGGCAAACATCTAAGGCAAACTCGTCCCACGCACGAGAAAGCATATCTTCTGTAACTGAGTGCGCCGCAGCAGTGATACGGTTCTTCACGCCAACCAGAGTTGCTGGTAGAGGCGGGACGTAAACAGCTTTCACACGTAGCCCTATTAGAAATAGTCACATGGTGTGAGATCAGGTGATCTCGTTGGAAGTGTGAAGCCAGACTTTCATTTCCAAGTGGGAAATTGAGATCTGGCACTATGGACTAGACTTTCATTTGAAGATATTGAACATTTATAGATAGTAAAAAGCATTGAATCTTTTTCTTTCCATTGATGCACAATTTATTAATTTTGATTTAGAAATTGAATGAATAGGAATTTATTAAATTGGGCCCATCATTTAGAATAACCTAGTATAACTGAGCCTACTGATACAACTGTGTCACGGGGGGTAATACTAGTAAAGCGTTAGATTAGACGAACCAAATAAGTCCTATTTGTGTCATGTATATTCCAACATTTTTTGCAACTCTGCCGTTCCAAACACTTTACCAAGAAACAAACAAGCATCTAATTATAAATTTTTATTTTACTCTGCAAGCCACTTCATATTCAGATTCACCAATGAGTGCATTATATAATGAGTACCTAGAGGGAATCGCATTGCAGTTTTAACACCGCTTCAAAGATAATATCTTAGTAAGCGAATTTTTTTCATTAAGGTCTGTCTTCAATATCGTACTCGAGTGACTGTAAGCTAAGTGCGCGTCAGATGGTTTGAATGCTGCCAAAATGATGCAATATCACTCAATTTCGAGCCGATCAACAAGACTATGGCAGATCTTACCGTTCTATGAAAGTAAATTATCATATTATTGACAAATAATGCGAATAAATATGTTTGAATACACATATAATTGTTCTAATTCGATTTCTTCTTTGATTCAATTCTAATACTGAGCAGCTACTCTGGTCGACACCGGCAATCCCGGCGAATTCAAGCAGGTTTATCCATACCCGAATTCCATACCACTCAACTACTACGTGATTTACATCGATGAGGTATGGACACCACCTTGGTGAGGTATGATGAGGTATGAATACTACTTCGGTGCGGTATGTTGAGGTATGGACACCACATTGCAGAGGTCTTATGATGTTGAACACCACATTGATGAGGTATGTTGAGAAATGGTCACCACATTGGTGAAAGGGTGAGGAATGGGTTTCACCTTGGTGAGGTATGTTGAGGCATGGGCACCGCATTGGTGAGGTATTTACACCACATTGAAACATTTCGAGGTATGGACGTCCCATCGATGAGGTATGGTGAGGTATGTACCTCACATTGTTGAGTTATGGTGAGTGAGGAGCACCAAATTGATGAGATATGGACACCATATTAATGAAGTATGGTGATGTATGGAAACTACATTGATTAGGTATGGTGAGGTGTGGGCACCACATTGATGAGGTATGGTGCTGTGGTGGTGCAGTGGTGAGAGACTCTGTCTCTCGCACCCAGCTTCCGGATTCGAGTCCCACTGAGGACAAGTTCTGCCGGGAAGCTCAGCTCATGGTCAACTCAGCCATTCATCCAACTCTGGTTGATAAATGAGTACCTGGCTTGTCCAGGGTGTTGTGTAATGCAATCAAAAATGGTTCTGGCGGGTCAGCGAGCCAGTGATGGTTGTAGAACTACCAGTGGCACCGAATGCCCGGAAAAACTGACCTATCACCCCCCCTCCCTAGTCGCCCCTACCAGGATGGGCAATTACAACAACAACAACAGGTATGGTGAGGTAAGGGCACCACATTGATGAGGTACGGTGAGGTATGGGCATCACATTGATGAACGCTGTAAAGCTTTAACAAGTAATATCTCCACAAATCGGGCCTCATTCATCCTTCTCAGCGCTATCATAATCAAGACGACCTCCCCTGAGATAAAAGAATCAGAGATAAATCGCTCTCTTCTCGACGGCACGGTGCATTGGGGTATTCATTCAGTGCTTACAACAGCTTCATTAAATTCCCATAGAACTAGTTTATCGTGGATGACTCAGAGCTCTCTGAAAACGTCCTTAACAGAAGAAGTCGCACACTCTCACCTCATACATCTATTCCGCTCTCAGAGTAGTTATGTTAGTCCGGGAGCTTTGTGACGCACGAGTTAATAAGGGGGTTAATCAGTCGGCAAACTTGATCCTTGTTTCCTTATATTTCGGCGTCAAAACCTGCACGCACAGGATTCTATAAGAGTGTGAACATACAAGAAACAGAGATCCTAGAATGATAATAAGTCTAATAGACGCAGCTCCAGAAGGGAGCTGCTTTAAATCGACATACAAAAGACCATGATCATATATCATGATAATTGATTTTATGAACACAGCTCCAGAAGGGAGCTGCCTAATTTCAGGCTCGTACTCTACTTAATCTAATTAATTTCATCGGTCTGTATCATGACCCTAACTGAATACATAGCTTATAGCAACTTATAAGGCACATAGAACGGAGCGGGCAATAATGAAAGGTAGAGCGATCACATGTAGCCGACCACAAATGATTCCGACAGATTCAATTACGGTATTCACTATTAGCAATAACAAAATGATCTTTTGAGGATCTGACAGAAGCAGGCTACTGCTAGAGTACTAGGTTACTGACAGCTTTACATACAGGCCGACGGCTAATGGTAATTAACTACTGCTAGGTTACTGGCCTAGTTTCCAAACTGGCTGATCACGGTAATTAACATGACACAGGGTAAATTCGCAGGTTTTTTAACTTACGGTCTTTAAGGCTCTAGAAAGACGAACGTGGACTT